AAAAGAGTGGCATGAATGCCACTCATCAAAATCCCCCACACTTGCCTCTTTCTTGTCCTCAAGCAAGGTAAACTGGAACAAAAAGACAAACACAACAAACATAACATGACAAGGTTTTTATCAAAACCAATCAAGCCTCAAGGTAATGAAAGGCTCAATTTAGACTCATTTGCAAATAAATGCACCAAAGAATACTTATCTTTCTCAATTCCAAGAGGGAAAACATGTTCCAAGATGCTCAAGGTTGAAAAAGACAAACCTAAGCTAAGCGTAGAGAACTAATGATTTCATTCTCCGCCCTGGCCCCAACCAAGACGGTCCGCGTTCTCTCCACTAGCTTCAATTCACCCCCATGCTAGCTCCTCATGGTTCCTCGAGGGAACCGAAAAAAGAAAATTTTATGTGGAATCATAGGGTCATCCCGACATCTCAACTATGCATACTCTCACCATAGGGTTGAAATCTATCTCCCTCCACCGTTCTTTGACCACGCCCCTCTAGAATCCAAGGGTATTAAGTAGGGTTGTAATGTCATGGCTAGGGGTTATGGATGGGAAACAATTTGAAAATTTTGGTGGCAATTCCTAAGTGAAGCATAAGAGTGGCCATCTCTCAAGAACATCTTAAGAATTGAACCTATTCTCAAACTTACAACCTTTCAAAACAAACCACACCACATTACTTCAATCTTTTCATTTTTTTTTTCTTGGTTATCATGAGTTTCAACTTTCTTGACAATACTTATTGCCTACCCTTTTCATGAATAATCCTTCAAAACCTTATTTGAACCAAATTACACAACTTTCTTGCTCAATTTCAACATTATCAAACTCGAACCTCACAAGCCAATGCTTCACTAACTACAAGGGTTGGTAGAACATAGGCCGATAGTTTTGTAATATGGATAAGTCAAGAAAGGGGAAATAAGGCTCAAATTGGTAAGCAAGAGGGTGAATGTAAAAATGAAAACCAAATTTGTAACAAAACACAAAGAAAACAAAGAAAAATGAGAAAAAATGCCCTCTTCCTCCTCTAAAGTTATATGGTCACGGTCTTCGGAGCTAGACGCCAACACAAAGATTAAGACATGCATAGTTAAGGATCCTAAATGCCGCTCACAAGAATGATGAAGTCTAGAACAAATGACGCTCACACAGGATAAGAAATAGAGCAAATACTAACCAAGGGAATCCTATCCACCATAGAGAGCAACACCATCTTACCACTTTCTTGTGAACTAGGGGTTCAAACGTCCTCAAAAGTTCTAAACCGGGCTACCTTAGCTTAAAATGTGTAACTCAACCCAAAGCATTCTCAAACCGTGCAAACCCTCATCAACTAGGAAGATAAGCATTCAAAGACACATCGAGGCAAACCAATCCAAAAGAGTGAGCAAATTACATATCTAAAATCATTTCAAATTGTCATAATTATGCTAGTAACACAAAAAGGGGAAAACAAAACAAAAGAAAGAGGAAGAAATAAAAAAGGTTCACATACGAGGCTTATAATTCAATTAAATCCCAATCGTCATACAAGTGATCGTTTGATAACAACATCAACAATCCCAGGTTCCATAGAACCAAAAGCAAACATCCTCGAACCATTCAAAGGCCGACCCTCTTTCTGCTATAGAGTCCAATCCTGAGTCTCTTGTTGAGTCTTCTCTTTCCGGTGAGGTCGCAGCTGACCTTGCCCCTCTTGATGTATTAACCAATGAATTCTATAAAATAAGTAGCTTTGCTTACGATGCGTGTCATTCCCCTAGCCATGATCAATATTGCTTTGCTAATGATAAAAATGAACCCGGGAGTGTCCATACATGGGGTCCTTTCTCCTTGCCCTCTAGGTTGAGGAGGGTTCTTAAAATTGAACCCGGGAGTGTCCATAAATGGGTGGAAGGGTTGGTTAAAATGCTCATAGGGCCACCCGTGGTCACCCCAACCACCATCAAAAGGGTTTAGGGTGGATGTGCGAGCCGGATCATAAGCCGGATCACACCCACCCGGGCGATAAGGATCATAAGGGGGGGTGCCAATGCGTTGGGAAGGGTCGATAGGACCTTCCCAATAGGGGTAGACATTGGGGGTAGGGTTGTTGGGGTCATAGGGGCCCCACTGAGGAACCGGACCCTCTTGAGGGGGGTGGTAGGGGTAGTTAACATAGGGTGCTTGGATGCCCGCTTGTACAAGGTTATCTAATTCATCCTCCCGTAGTAGTACCCCCATTGTTTCATGGAAGCTTGGTTATCCCGACAGATATCCTCGAGGTTACTACTGATGGCATTCATGTCAAAAAGAGGAAAGGAGGAAGAGGTAGATGCCTCACCTCCCCCGCTAAGGGAGGGAACAATTTGCTCCTGGCGGTGGACCGGTGGAGGATGAGGAACTGCACCACGGGCTCTTGTTCTTTTTAATTCATTGGGGATGTGCTGCCGGGGGATCTTCCATTTGAGAGGAGAGGAGTGGTCCACCATAGTGAGGGATGGGTCCGGAAGGACAAACCATTCAACCTCTTTGTCCACTAAGAGGATGAATTTGCGCTTGTTTATGGAGTAGTTGATGAAGCGGTGGTGACGGAGAGCACTAAGGGAGAGAGAATAAGGAGGAAACTCGTTGGTGACTTCCTCTTGGGTTTGGTGCACAAAGGGGAGCATTTATATTTGCTCCTTGTAACCTCCATCTTTCAAGGAAAGGGCAATGATAGTGATCATGCCCCCCATAAAAATGTCGTCACCAAGACGGTTGTCCCGAGTATCCAAAAGCCTTTGGATGAAGGTGGAAGAGCATTGGAACTTGAGGCGCTGAGGGTTGTCGACAAAGAATAGAAAAGCTACCTCATCCTTAACCATTGAGTTGAGGTTTTCTTTGAAGAACACAACATATTAGAGAAGTCGAGAAAAATATCTTAAGGCTATGTGGATGATGTTGTTGACCTTAGATGTGTTAGTTCTAAAACTATCCCTGGTGGATATGCTCCTCCACCATTCTTTCTCGTTGTAGGGGATGCGATGAGTGGAAGTCATCTCGCAAGGATGATCTAGCCCGGCCGTATGCCAATGGAAAATCTCGTTTAGATCACTCTCGGTGAGGGAGTGATCCTCATTGAACATGCGAAAATGTATCACAAGTTGAGGCTCCTCATCATTGAACTCTGGCTCTATGACTTCCATGCGGAGAGAGGCAAGGAATTCCAAAGTCACTCGCTCATAGGTGTGAGCGTGAAGGTAGATGAAATCATCCAATCCAAAATTTTATGCTAACCGAACTACCTCATCCAATATACCGAGCTTTTGCAACGTTGTAGGACAAAAGAACCATGTTGAACGGATGGGACGATTGATAAGGGATTTGTAGACGTCCCAAAAGTGCTCATTTGGAGCAATTATGCTATGATCATTTATGCCGGAAAGAGGCGGGAAACTCGTTGATGAAGATTCACCCACTCTCTTCCTCTTTGACTTGCTCTTTCCGAAAACCATGATTCTACAAAATTACCAAGAGCTATTGTTAGGAAAATTTTATAAGAGATGTCATAAGAAGCTAGCCACGGTAAAAGTGTATGCGTGAAAGTAGTTGCCTTGAGTTGTGAAATAGATATGAAGGATGACAACAATACAATTCAAGGCATAAATGGACACATTTAAACCAAGGCATGGGCAAGAAACCCTATGACATTCATATATAAGTCCTAACAAAGTCTAGGTGAATTTCGGCATGATGCCTTCTAATTACATGATAATCATTCACCAAACCATCAAAATCAAACCAAAAACAACAAGAATCATTCTCCAACAACATCCAATTCATAAATTCCTCAATCACCAAATAGTAGCATGAACACCCTAGCATGAAATCAACATTTTTAAGCAAAGACATTGAGATCAAATAAAACCAAGGTATACATGCATAATTATGATAACAACATGTTCTACTATCAATTACCAATCAATTGCAACATATAAATCCAAAGAACCACAAGAATCAAGCAAGTTATTACTAACAATTTCAAGAATACCACAATTCATATTTAAACATGCAAAACATGATATAACTATTAGAAATTGAAGAAATGAACTTGCAAAAGTTAAGAAAACCATACCACAATTGATTGTAAGTAAGTAGAAACCCAAAAACACCAAAACACTCAAACCCTAGAAATTGGGGGAAATGAAAAAAAATGGGATTTTTGTGAGGAATTTTTGGTAGAGATTGTAGAAATGGAGTGGAGGATGGAAAATAAGTGAGAAAAAAAGAAGATTGGAGTGATTTTAATGGAGGTTTGAGGTTGTAGGAGGGGTTTATGGAGGTTAGAGTGAGAAGGAGGAGAATAGAGAGAGAGGGTCTAATGAAATGAATGGGAAAAGAAGAGCAGCCCCCGTTTTTTTTAAAATTCGACAAAGACTCGGCCGAACCATGGGTAAGTTCGGTCGAACTCTTGAAATGGTTCGGCCGAACCTTCTCTCTAACTTGAAATTCACGAAAATGGCATAAAGTTTTCAAGTTTTGATTCCAGAGTAGGTGCGACCGAACACAGCTATGTTTGGGCGAATTAAGGTTCGGTCGAACCTCTCCAAGGTTCGCTCGAACCTACTCCAGAATATTAATTTCTGCAATTTTGGCAGAAAGTTTTTAACTTGAGGTTCCAGAGGAGGTGCGACCGAACTCAACAAGGTTCGGGCACACCTTTTAAAAGGTTCGACCGAACCTTTAGGAAGTTCGGTCGAATCACCTGGCATTTTCAAAGAAATGCCCATTTTGCAATACAATATGCACAAACACCCCTCTTAAAAAACACTAAACACCATACCATCATGCTAAGGCAAAGCATACCAAAAATTCCAACACAATCAAAATTAAAAAATCCAACAATCCAACATTGTAGATAGGAAAATAACAAAGCATCAAGAAAGGAGTAAAAAGAAAAAGGTTAGGGACTCGGGTTGCCTCTAGAGAAGCGCTTCTTTAAGAGGTCACTAGCTTGACCATGAGAAAAATTCTTCAAGTGGGAGGCTTGGGATCCAAAGGATCAAGCATTATACATTCGATGATACCAATTTCTTCCTTGCAAAAGTAATGCTTTAAACGATGACCATTAACCATAAACTTGTTACCATCCGCATCTAACTCAAAGGAGCCATAAGGAGTAGTCTTTGATATCACAAAAGGACCCGACCACTTTGATTTGAGTTTACCCAAAAACAAACAAAACCTTGAGTTGAAAAGAAAAACCTTGTCTGCAACCTTAAAGTTCTTGTTTCGAATATGTTGGTCATGCCACTTTTTGGTCTTCTCCTTATATAACCTTGAGCTCTCATAAGCATCATCTCTAAGCTCTTCATGTTCATTGAGCTTAAGCAATCTCTTCTCACCGGCCAACGATAAATCCATATTGAGCTCTTTTATGGCCCACCAAGCCTTGTATTCTAACTCAACCGGCAAGTGACAAGCCTTTTCATAGACCAACCTATAGGGGGTCGTGCCGATTGTAGTCTTGTACGCCGTCCTAAGAGCCCATAGTGTGTCATCAAGTTAGAAGGACCAATCTATCCTTGATTTGTTCACAATCCTTTCAAGAAGATTTTTTATTTCACGATTCGAGACCTCCACTTGTCCTTGAGTTTGAGGGTGGAAAGGTAATCCAACCTTGTGATGAACGCCATACCTCTTGAGAAGAGCTTTAAATTGCTTTTTGGAGAAATGGGAGCCTCCATCACTAACTAGCACCCTCGAAACCCCAAACCTAGGAAAAATGATCTTCTTTAGAAGCATAAGCACAACCTTGTGATCATTGGTAGGTGAGGGTATGGATTCAATCCATTTCGTCACATAATCAACCGCTACCAAGATATATAGATTTCCACAAGAAGAAACGAAAGGCCCCATAAAGTCCACTCCCCATACATAAAATGGCTCACCTTCTAAAACACTTTGTTGGGGAATTTCGTCCCTCTTGGTAATGCCTCCGCTCCTTTGACATCTATCACATTGCGCAATGAATTTGTGGGCGTCTCTATGCATTGTCGGCCACCACAATAAAAATTGAGAGATTTTTTCCAGTGTTTTGTCAACACCACCATGTCCTCCACATGGTAGTGAGTGGCAATGCTAAAGAACACTTTGAATTTCATGATCTGGAATACACTTCCGATAAAGGCCATCTCCACATTGCTTGAATATGTATGGGTCATTCCAAAAGTACCTTCTCACTTCCTTGAAAAACTTCTCTTTTGTTGATAAGAGTACTCCGGGGGAACGACTCCACACGCAAGATAGTTGGCTATATCCGCGTACCAAGGGGTAGAAGTTGACGCCAAAGCCATGAGAGCCTCAAATCCTATCTCATCATTAATCGGTACATCCTCCTTGTTCTCAAATGGTAGCCTAGACAAATGATCCGCTACATAGTTCTCCGCTCCCTTTTTGTCCATCATTTCCATGTGAAAGTCTTGGAGAGAGAGAACCCAACGGATAAAGCGAGGCTTTGCTTCTTTCTTGGTCATGAGAGACCAATATTTCCTTTTTCTTTCTCACCTCCCTTGTTTTCATTCACACTCTCCTCTCCTCCCTTGTTTTCCTCACTATCCCCTTCATTTGGCCCTTTATAGGAAGTTCCCAACCTCAATGTGATCGCCTTGCATGTATCGGGCTTTGGATTGTGAGATGGGTTAGGTTGTGATTGTCCGGGTAGAGTGGATGGTGAATTGAAAGGAGTTCTCTCGACCAATTGAGCTAGTTGTGAATCAACCATCTTGTTGTGAGCTCTTATCTCTTGCATTTGTTGCCCAAAACATTGCATTTGCGCATGCATGTCTTGGAGGAGTTGAGTTTGAGTTAGTTCTGCTTGAGGTGCTTTTTCTTGATGATTTCTTTGAGGTGCTTGGGTTTGATTGTTGTATTGGTTATTCCTTGGATAGCTTCCTCTTGGGTTTTGGGGTTTATATGGAGGTGGATTTTGATATTGAGGGTTGGATTTATAGAATGGTTGAGCTTGTTGGTTCCATTGTTGAGGTTGAGGTACAAACTCGGGTGGTGGTTGTCTCCAAGCTACTCCACCGCCGCTTCCTCTAAATTTCTCTGTCCTTGTGTTGTATGCCGCTACATGTTCGGGGCTCAAACCTCCACAATAGGACGTATCATGGTTCGTTCCTCAACAATTTTGACAAGAGAAAGAGTTAACTTGAGAAGAGCTTGCTCCACCACTTGAACTTGCATTCACACTCGTGTTCAACTTGGAAAGCCCTCTTGTTAGTTGATCAATTTGATGTTGTAATTGATCAACTTTCTCTAATTCGTAAATACCACCTCTCTTTGGAGTGTTTCTTCTTCGGCCCCCCGAAAAGTAATTATTTGATACCTCTTCTATTGTGGCTTCCACTTGATTTTGAGGGATCTTGATTAATTGACCACCCGCCCCCGCATCCAAATTGGCTCTTGACATGGGCTCCAATCCGTCGTAGAAAACCCGCATGAGCAACCCTTGATTGTACTCATGGTGGGGACATGCTTGTACCAACTCTTTGAATCTCTCCCATGCTTCACCAAGACTTTCATCGGCATCTTGCTCAAATGATGCAATTTTCCTTCTCATTACGGCGGTCTTCTCCACGGAGATAAAGCGCTTCAAGAACGCCTTTACCACCTCCCTCCATGTTGTGAGAGTGTTAGGCTTTACTTGCTTTAGCCATTTCTTTGCTCGTCTGGTGAGAGATTGTCGGAAAAGGTGCATACGAATGTAGTCTTGACTCACTTCATTGGTTTGCATCATTGCGCACAATTCAAGGAATTGGTCCAAATGTTCAATAAGGTCCTCACTTGCACTTCTGGAAAATTGCTCCGATAAGACCATTCGAGTATATTGTGGATGTATTGAGAAGTTGGTTTCCGTGACGTGTAGCAAAATCCCTCCCGTGAGCTCATAATCCTTCGGATTTCTGAACTCACGAAACAAAACATCGTTCTCTTGTCCCGCCAATTATCTGCGTGGTGAACTTGAAGAGTAACTATCACTCTCACTATCAACTATATCACCAAAACCTCTTCCCTCGTCTTGATAAAGCCTACAGACTTGTCTCAAGATTCGGTTGATTTCATGGTCAATTTGATGTGAGGGTGCTCCTTGAGACCTCCTAAGCATTCACCAAAGCTAGGCAAACAATTAGTAATGACAAGGATGAAAAAACAAAAAAAAACAAAAAGAAAATAAAGCAAAATAACTCTAACAAAAGCAATAATAGACGCTAAACAAGCCGCTTCCCCGGCAACGGCGCCAAAATTTGATCGCGGGTTAGATAGGTCGTTAAGCTACTACCCTAACCAAATTAATAATTTATAATGCTTGAACCTACACTAAACTAGTTACTGGAAAGTAAAGGGCGAACCACTAGGGAAGCACGCTAATTCAACATCAAATATCACTAATGCAAGAGTGAAAAGTGGATTGTTTTTGTTGGTTTTGTTGAGTAATAACACTAAAACTACAAATAAGCAAGAAAATAATGATTAAAATCAATAGAAAATGACGCTAGGGATACGGGGGTGTCCAATATGATTAGAAAGAGGAGAATAATGGTAATTATCATGAAACATATGCCAAAGAACACAAGATTCTATCTAAACAATTCATTCTCATGCAATTGTCTAGGAAAATCAATGAAAGAGATCTACACTAATAAGGATCATTCTTATGCATCCTATTAGTAACAATCAAATCAAGAGAATAAAGAAGCACAATCCATAAAAACTCCACTTTAATAACTTATTTTCATGCAATCATTAAAATAGAGGTGATCCTAATCTAGTTCAAATCACTTTCATGCATTTAAACTAGAAAACATCAAATAGAGTGTAACAATACTCCCAAGCTAATAAAAATCATTTCTTTCATCAATATATGGCATAAGTTCAATCCAACCATCATCATTCATCCAATATCAAATCATATCTTCCACCCCCTTCCCCTAGCTAAAAGTTTATCCTAGAGAATGGAGATTAAACATAATATCAAAACTAGAAATAAACTCAAGAAACTAAAAAAAAACATGATTAAAATCAATGAAATCAATAACAACAAGATAATCTAAAAAGATTGACAAGAATAAGTAATAATAAAACAAATAAATAATACTAAAGGAAAGGAGAAGAATTTACGAAAGAAGGGATTAATGAAAGATGAAAACTTGAATTCTTGCTTGATTGAAGGAAGATTAAAACTTGAGCAAAGTTGAATACAATAAAGGATGCTTGAATAACAATCTATTTTCTCTTTCTAGATTAGGCTAATTTTCTACAAATTAAAACTAAGTTAATTCCAAAATTACATCAAAACGTTCTAAGATGGAACTTATATAGTCCGTACAGAGCCAGCTGGAAAAAGGAGTGGTCTGACCGAACAATGGGAAGGTTCAGCCGGACTATAGGGTAGGTTCGTCCGAACCATGGGTAGGTTCTATTGAACCTCCCTGATCCTGCTCTGGTCGAACTTCTGTGGTTCGACCAATCCTGTAAAATTGCCAAATTGCTTCTTGACCCTGCCTCGATGTTCGGCCGAAGCACTGAGCAGGTTCGGTCACACTCTGGTTCGACCACACCTTCAGGAGGTTCGGCCGAACCTCTTCTGAATCTTTCTTCTGTCAGCTTCCTTTGAGCTTAGCTTCCTCATCTTGAAAACCCCGATGGTTCCTACAAAGCATAAGCATGGAAATCACAATAAAAACAAAGCGAGAACACTAAGAAAAGGGAAGATAAAGGAGAAAAGAAAAGAGGAAACAAAACTAAGTAAAAATGCTTAGAAAAAGGGCCAAACAAGTGCAAATGAGAGGAGAATCCTTAGAGAAAAAGGATAAAAGAGTGGAATGAATGCCACTTATCACCGCCCCGACAACTCACACCACGTCCAAGCTTGATGATGCTGTACTTCAAAGCGTCAACAAGCTTTATAAATCCCATCATGTCCGAGTGTGTAGGCTGAGAACAAAGAATAATCAGTAACAAGGTGTATTAAAAAGGATGAATAACGTGTCTGTAGACACCTAAAAATGTCTCCCCAAAACCAATCCCGATGATGAACAACCTTTCACCACCACTATTGGTCGGGTTCAGTATTTAATCCTGAGAGTGCTTAAAAAATCGTATTTGATTAAATTCGTATTTTTGAACAGTCCATGGATTAGTCTTGATGTTTGGTAAAAGCATAGTTTTAATTTCAGCCCAAATTTATTATTTAATTCTAGCCCAAACCTTTTTTTTGTTTTATTGTTTTTTTTTTAAGCCCAAACCTTTTACTTATTTTCATATTTTAGCCCAAATAACAATAAATTAGAAAAAAGCCCGAAATTATCAATCGGCACTTAAAATGCTGAACGAAATTAGGGTTCAAAAAAATTTAGACAGAAAAGTGGACTGAAAATTCCCGCGCCACGGCAGCTTTCCACCATGTCACGGGAAATTTTCCCGTCTGACGGTGGGATTTCCCATGACACGGGAAACCTGTTGTGACACGGGAATTTCCGTGTCCTTTTCGCGTAAACCCTTAACGCGTTTTCTCCCCCGTTTACTAAATATTTCCCGCGTCACACAAAATTTGCACCGTGTCACGGGAATTTTTCCCGTCTGACGGTGGGATTTCCCGTGTCACGGTACAGTTTGCCATGTCGCGGGATACTTTTTTAGGGTTTTTATCATTTTAGGGTTCTTTGTGTTCCCTCAGCACATTTTCTCAATAAATACCCCCCTCATTTCTTATGTACGGGGCATCAATTAATTCTCTAGTTTTTTCTCTCTTCTATGTTTTAGCCTAAACACTAGCCTACCCATCTTCTTTCAAAATTCCTTCTTCAAGTACTCTAAGGAGTCTATACTTTACTCGTGGTTCTGTCCTTAAGATAAGGCGTGAAAGGTAGAACTGTTTGAGGATTTGGCCCTAAATCAATTCTATTTAATTTAATTTAATTATTGTTTTATTATTATTTCCTTGAAGTTACTAACTCGTTTATTATTTTGTAGTTGCAAACAAACAGAATCAAAGTTAGAATTATGTTCCTTTTATTTCTTTTTTTTTCTAACGATTTATATTGTTGGAATTATTGTTAAATTGCTTCCAATATTGATGTTATTCTATTATATTTATTGATCACCATATTGCATATTTAAAGGGAATATGTAATTGAAAATCACGCCTAATAAGATAATTTGGACAACCGGTTTAGGTTCCCTTTTAATCTTGTTGTTTAATCAAGTGATCACAAATATTTTAGAATTATATGTTGCATTAATATTCAACCAATTTAGCTTAATAATAGTTTGGAGCGAATTGAACATTCTGTTTGTATGCCTTTGTGATTGCAGGAATGCTTTTCACCATAAGAATCGAGTAGAAGCCAATACGGGCGAATGTGACTCCATGACTCACTTCGTACCATCATCCCCGATCCTCCTTTCGTGGTTCCGAACCATATGGAGTTAGTAATCTCATGGATTATGAATGGGGTGTAACCTTCACGGGTTAATCGTTGTTGCCTACGTTGTCCCTGTATCGTGGTTGCCTTAAATGATCCGTGAACGGTTTACAAGTTCCTTAAAAACATGTTGGCGGATCCCTACATTCCTTGTCCCTAATCGTATATGTCAATTCCCACTTCCTATGAGTGCCAAGAATATTCACACATGCTTTTAATGTAGGCGCACTTCCAACGACGCCTACAATTTGGCGACTCCACTGGGGAGGATTCTTTGTTATTTATCGATTTGAGTGATTGATATTTAATTAAGATGAGTGGATGAGATTTGAAAGATTCTTGAAAAATATTCCTGTGATTAATTTGGCATTTTTGCATATGCATAGACGTTTTAAGGTCGCATTTAGGTCTTTCCCGTAGGAAAAATTGAATAACTTTATTGCGTACGAAGGAAAACAGGGAACCAGTCAGATTTTCTGACTGCCGTGCCACGGCAAAATCTGTCGTGTCACGGTACAGTGCACCGTCTGACGGTGTGCCGTACCGTGGCACGAGAATTTTTGTCGTGTCACAGAAGTCCTAAAATCAGTCCGGTGGCTTATTTTCTCTTCTCACAGTCAACTTCCTTCGATTTTTCTGAAAAAACGTGTGTGTTCTACATGCGTCTTAGCCCCAGCGGATTTAAGCTCATGGCAATAAGGGTTCATCCGAGTTATTAAATCCACCCAAACCATGGAGTCAAGTTCGATTTCATCACGAACTCGCGGAGCCGCCCGTTGGCATACACCGTGTCACGGCAAGTCCTATCGCGTCACAAAACAGACCTAGAACTGCGCACCGTGTCACGGCAAGTCCTGTCGCGTCACGGTGAACAGTGCCGTGACACGGCGCTTTCTACCGTTTGACGGTAGACTGCACCATGTCACGACAGTCAGCACCGTGACACGGTGCCTAGGAAAAGTGTCCCGTTAGTCTTTTTTCGATTTTTGTGCATACGTATGTGGTTTATATGTCCAGTTTGGTGTCATGTCTAGTTGTACCGTCAAAACACGCGTCCATAACCTCACTTAATCACACACGTATCGTGTTCACACACTTTTTTCTTTAGTCATGCACCTCTTTTTGACCGTATTTTAGGGTAGTCTTTTTTTTGTGTCGTTTTTTTTCGGAGTAAGTCGGATAGTATCCTCCCCTATTTTTATTTTTTAAAATAAAAAATAAATAAATAGAATTTAAGTTATAGATTTTTAAAATTCAAATTTTTTATTCTTTATTTTTCCGAATGGGTTAAGGTTAAGTTTGGTCATTAAAGGTGTGTTTGTTTCGGTGTCACATCACTTGGTCAAGAAGCAGGGGTAGATTATTACGGTTCGAGTCAATACCTCAACAACCT